TCTTCATTGAGCCGCACTTGTGTTGTCAATTTGGTCATGCAAGCTTTGTCTCAATGGTGGTGTGGGGGGTAAGTTCGGGATATTTCTACAGCTCCCCTTTCCTTTGGATGCTATTGTGAAGAGTCATATCTTTCGATTCAGGAGTATTCATCATCAGCTTCTGGATCGAGCTTATAAGATTTGAGAATAGAATCTGTATAGATGATCTTCAGGGTTGTTGTTGTTTCTGTTTCACATTAAAAACCGTTCCGATCTTCCTCTACCCAGTACCTTCGTATGTCCGTACTGATCCAACACTCGACGTGGTCGATTCCCGTGGTCGCAGGCTAACTTACCCTTCAAAGGTACACTCAATTGAAATGGCCCCGAGGGATCCGCAAGTCAATAGAAATCAACGACAGATATTCTGGAGTCCTCCACTCCCTCTGCGCGCTATGCGAGGTAACAACTGAGACTAGGAGTCACCATCACGGGCCGGAGAGATGGGCTAGTGTTAAGGAGTGTTGCTGTAGGGTTTTGATAGGGTACATCTTGGTCTAGAATAGGATGTGGGTTGTCCGGGAGGTATACCTCTGAGGGACCATACCACATCAGGACTCAGCTATCTGCGTACCCCCTGGTTGACAGGAGGATCCCCTCCTCAACCAGACCTTTCTCGCTCTCAATTCAAGCAACATCTCATTTCTACACAATCGTGGAGACAAGGCATCAAGCGAGCGTACCTCTTTCTTTACATAAGAACTCAGCTGCTTCCAACAGCTGGAGCTCCTTAAGACATACCCATGGGCCGCCAATGAGAGCCCTTCGACCGAACCAGTAAACTCCTAAACAATAGATCATCCGCGTTGGAACGGGCACTATAGCGGCCAATAGCCCTAATGCTAATCCTAACCCTAACCCCAAGCCCACACGATACGTGCAAGGGTGGCGCTGGCGGCTAAGTTCTACATGGATGGATAGGTTAATGTGCAGGTGGCTAAGGTCTACAGCAAGGTTGATATTACTAGAAAAAATACACAGACAGAAAGACTGATCTGCCCGTTCGAGATATAGACTACCCACCGTCGAACAGTCGAACACAGCAGTCAAACAGTCTTCTTTTCCCGATCGATACAAACAACCTCTCATGCCTCTCTTTCCACATATTTTTCTTCTCTTTTTGTCTTTTTCGCTTTTTCTCTCTTTTCTGTGTCAGATGGCCTTGTCTCTGCTTGCGTTGTGATGTACCAAGATTGAACCAAGGAGGTGTACCTCATTCTCTCCGGCCCGTGATGGTGACTCCTAGTCTCAGTTGTTGCCTCGCATAGCGCGCAGAGGGAGTGGAGGACTCCAGAATATCTGTCGTTGACTTCTATTGACTTGCGGACCCCTCGGGGCAATTTTAATAATAGTTTTTTTTTGTTTTTTTTTTGCGAAAAGTGTGGCCCGTTTAGGGGTACGCTTTTTGCTTTGCAAAAAAAAAGCTGTTTAGAGGGATCGTGTGTGGAGTATGTGCGCACGACAAAAAGAATCATTTTCATGCACAGGGGCGTGAAAATTTCGAAATGGCTGTCTGTCTGTCTGTCTGTCTGCGCGCCCTAAATAACCCAGCAGACTCGAGCCCATTTCACCATCTCGGCACCAAATTGCAAACTAAAACTTGCGCACAACAAGTAATATTTTGCCCGAGCTGTCCTAACCGCTACCTTTGCAATCCGTGGTCGGTGTCTCGAGATAGCACACCGTTTGTGCAAATATATATGTCACATGGATGCATCCCCGGGAGGAGTCATTTTTGTTTTTTGGGCAACAAACTTCACACACGCAAGAAACCACGACGCACTCCCGTGCTGCACACACTGCTGCTGCTACTGGCAAGACACGCACTACACAGAGACAGGGAACATGGACAAGGGGGGCGGGACACACACACATACTGCTGTTGGCGACGGCGGAGGAAGCGGGGAACGTTTGGTTGGTCTGGGGTTCATCGCTGATGATGTTGTTGTTGTTTCCGTTCTTTGTTGTTGCTCAACGCTGCCGGCCTTTTCGCCTTTTCTCTGGAGAGAGAGGGAGTCCCACCAACCAGCGTGTGTTGCACACACCACACAGCGAGAGCGGGACGGGAGCAGGGTGTGCCCTATACTACTGCTGCTGCTAGCTTTCGGCGGAGGAAGCGAGAGGAGAGATATTGATTGGGTCTCTGTGGGTCCCTGTGAGTGTATCTTTTTAGGGTAAGTTAGCCTGCGACGACGGGAATCGACCGCGTCGAGTGTTGGATCAGTACGGACATACGACGGTACTGGGTAGAGAGAGATCGGAACGGTGTATAATGTGAAGACAACAACAACAACAACAACAACAACAACAACAACAACAAACACCCCTGTTATTACCAGACAAACCAGAACAGACCAGACTGCTGCTGTGCTGCCGTTGTGTCTTGTGTCTTGGTGTGCTGTCGTGCTGGTCTCCATCTGATCCATGGGTGGGTAGATAGAGGAGGTCAGGTCAGGGGTTCGAATCCCGGCGTAAGCGAGCTTTTCTTGCAAAGTGAGTTGTTCTCTCGCTTCTGCTCAGGAGGGGAGGGTAGAGAGGGGCTCTTCTGTGTGACCACAGGTTTGAGTAAACGGCACCAGTGCTGTTAGCGCTGATTTGAAGTGAAGACAAAAAAAAAAACTACCACCTGCTGGCGTCACAGCAGTTGTCGTATTGACTGCAACCCTCGTACGTGAAACATTTTGGACCCTTTTTTTTTTTTCACTTCAAATCAGCGCTAACAGCACTGGTGCCGTTTACTCAAACCTGTGGTCACACAGAAGAGCCCCTCTCTACCCTCCCCTCCTG